GGTCCTCCTTTCTCCCCCTTCTTAAAACCAAGGGTTGATGCAGTATTTATTGTCAATAACTTAAATTATTCTTATTTTAAAGGTGTTTTGGAAGATTTGAAGAAGTGTAAAATTATTTTCATGATTGGTGAGTAACAGTCCTCTAGTTTTCTAATGCAATTGTTAATATTAACAACTTCAGAGGGGGGGGGGAAGTGTCCTAATCTCCTACAGTGTAGCACTTATTTATACAGTTTTAAATTGCTTTTACTTTGTATCTTTGCACATAGAATAAGTGTGACTCTAAGAAACGTCAAACACTGGAGTGTAGGTCTACAGTAATAAATTATATTATACTCCCCCGGGTAAGAGGATGCCATCTGTTGAAATCTAACACATTTTCTGTTTAAATGATGATTCTCTTCTCCCTAAACAAAATATACTAGAGACTATATTCAAACATGAGGTGCTTCAAAAAGTTTGCAACATGTTCCATTATCTTTTAATTCCACTTTCCATGAACTTTTTTATTTTTAATCATTTTATTGGGGGTCTTACAGCTCCTATAACAATCCACATATGAATTGTATCAAGCATATTTGTACATATATTGCCATCATTATTTTCTAAATATTTACTTTCTATTTGAGCCCTTGGTATCACCTTCTCCCTTTTCCCTCCCTTCCCCACCTCCCACCCTCGTGACCCCTTAAAAATTATAATTTTAATTTATGAATTATAATTATTTTCCACAAACTTTTTGAAGCCCCTCATATGACTCAATAAACTTACCCGGGATTCCATATAGATGACTGCTAAAATGCTCTATTCTATCCTGTACTCCATAGCATGTTGAAACACATTGGTATCTTAACTGTAGCCTATAAAATATTTAGAATTAAACATTTTGTCTTAAAAAAATTTTTTTAAATTTATTTTATATTTATTGGCCACAACATCCAAAAGCCAAGCCCAGAATTCTCAAGTTGATTCTGACTCATTCCAATTCATAGTAAAACTGCCCCATCCAGTTTCTAAGGCTACCAATTTTTTTTAACAGTTACATTAAGATATAATTCACATATCATAAAATTCAATAGTTCAATCATATTAAGTATTGTGCAACCATTACTGCAATCGATTTTAGAACATCTTTTTTTATTAAATCATTTTATTGGGGGCTCTTACATATGTTATAACCATTCATATATCCATTTTATCAAGCAGATATGTATCATTGTTGGCATGAACAATTTCTAAATATTTTCTTCTTGAGCCTTTTGATATCAGCTCTTACTTCTCCCCCTCCCTCCCCCATCCTGCTACCTCTATAAACTCTTATTATGCTATTGTTATAATTATTTGTACATAGCTTACATCACCGCCCATTCTATCCCTTCACCTACTAGGCTGGTATGTGTCCCCTCAAGGGGGGTTATTCTGCCATTATTGTTCCCCGTTCCCTCTTCCCCTGTCCTCCCCAACTCCCTTCCCTTTCCTGTATGAAAGCTCTCGTCTGTGCCACTGTATGTACACCAGTCTAGCGGGATTTGTGAGGTAGGACTGAGATCATAATAGTGGGGGGAGGAAGGATTAAAGAATTAGAGGAGGGTTGTGTGTTAAACAATTACACAACATTTCTGAGCACCTACTAAGGCACCCTGGTGCTAACAGCAAGGTGAGCAGTTTGAAACCAGCAGCCGCTCCTCAGAAGGAAGATGGGTGTCTCTGCGCCTGTTCAGATTCACAGCCTGGGAAGCCCAGAGGCAGTTCCACTCAGCCCGTGTGAGGCATAAGAACCAGTGGTGATGCACAAGACTGAGATAGAAGCCGTGCTAACAGTGGAAAAGTATTTGAAAAATGTAAAAATATCCTTTAAAGAGCCTCATTATGTCCCATTTGCAACCTCCTACAGTATTTTACAATTTTTACTGCCTACATTTCGTTCTTTCTTTGCCCCTTACTCATTGTGTTATTATCAGCCAATCTATCTTCGCTTTTTTCTATTCCCCATTTTTCACTACCTGCCTAGGCCCCAAATATGGCATAATCTGAATTACTTTTCTCTAAAGCCTTAGTAAAAGGACTTCAATTTGGACACATACTTAACTTTATAGGTAAGGTCTGATGGTAATGGCGTTATAATCAATACATTTCTCAAGAC